ATAAAAGTAGTTCAGAGATATTTGAATTTCTAAATTACTTTTCCAGTCTCTAAATCTTGTTATTGTTTTCATTTCGATGTCCCGCCCTCCACCGTTTCACCAATCAGAAAGTCTGTGATCCGGGCGCCAGATCTGACCGCACGGAGCTAATCTCACTGGTAAAGTACCATGTGGAGCTAATCTCACTGGTAAAGTACCATGTGGAGCTAATCTCACTGGTAAAGTACCATGTGGAGCTAATCTCACTGGTAAAGTACCATGTGGAGCTAATCTCACTGGTAAAGTACCATGTTGCGCAGAACTAAAAAAGGTCTCGTTATGATTCTCAAATCATTAACAACAAAACAAGGAATAAAACCAGGATTTCTATCTTTGTGAAAAAGGTGTTGGTTATAGATTTGTTGTTGACAAAACTCTTGTCTATTCAGCTGTTATGGTCCCAGCTGGATTCGTCTGCATATCTGGCAACCTGAGTCAGGGAGAGTGGGAGAGGCTGCAGTACCACTTCTGTCCACATGTTTACACACTGCTTATTTTTTAGGACAAAACCAAAACACATGGATGAAGTTTTTATCTGTTTTCTGAGAGTAAAGCTCAGTTTGTGTTTTTCTCGAGGCTCAGTCGTGGATCAGAGAAACAGAGCGTGTCCTTCGGGGGTCGCTGCATTAGTGACGCCGTACAGTGTGAGAGCCGGGCTTTGTGGCATCTGTTAGAAGCGATGCTAACAGGAAGCCATCATTTATGCCAGCGGTGGATTAACTCTGTGGAAGCCAAATGTTTCTCTCAGACTGTGGCCCTGTCCCATTACCCACACTGCACCCTACTCTCCTCTACGAAGTGTGCATTTGTTTGGGTTTGAGTGGCAGGTTTGGGACAGTGCAGGCGACGTCAGCGACTCGTCAGAAATGGTCATTTTCAGAGCGAAACTTTATAGATTAAAGGTCATTTTGTCTGACCCTGTAGGAAACAAAATGAGTTGCTCCACACACGTTAAAATAAATGTATATTGGTTGTTGGTAATTTGAGATAGTTGTATAATTAGGATTTAAATTAAAATAACTGTTGTCTGGTCAGTTTTTATACATCCTAAGTTTATTGTACAAAATGTAAAGTTTAAATTGTATGTTTTATGAAAGCTTGGATTAAAAACCACATGAAATTGTTTCCATAGAATGTCCGTAATTCTTCAGACATTTATGCTTCTTTCCAAGTAACAGCAAAACTTATTTACACACATACTGCAGATATTTCAAAACTTACACTTAAATGCATTTTCCTGACGTTTTGGTTTATACCGCAAAGAATTATGGGCAATATCCTTCGCCAAAGTCGGCTTAGATGCAGTCTACGGCGAAGTGTGGATCAGGGGCGCAAAGGGGGCGGGGCCAAAGACCTCCCTGGAGAATTGGGACTGGACCCTACGCACTCGCACCCGTCATCAGGAACAAGCACATGAGGGGCGCCAGGTTGGAAGTGCGAGTGTTGGGACTGGGCCATTTTATGAGACTGTGAGAGAGACAGAAACTGAAATCTATAACACAAACTTAAAGATAAATAGGAGGATTTTCTACTTCCTATTGGTCCTCCCAGCTGTCAATCATTCTGTTGACATGTGCTCGTCCAATAAGAGCAGAGAGTTTGCTTCAGAAAGTGGTAAAAATAATAAATGGGTAAATCCTCCTTTAGACTGGACCTTTAATGCTAGTTTCCTGTTTTTCCCGAGCTCTAAACTTAAAGCTGCTCTGACCTTGATCTTTTCAGTTCGACTCCCGCCGTCTTTACATTCGTCGTTAAATTCACGTCTGGTTTTTGTAACGTTTTTCTTTAACATTCCTGAACTTTGTTTAACTTGTTACACACAATGAAACTTTCTACGTTTCATGGTTGTATTGTATTAACGGCCGGAGCACATCTGCCTCTCGTTATCCTCTCTCTGCAGCGACGGAAACAGACTTTAGGGTCTGAGGAGTGAGAAGCAGAAAGAGCTGAGCCAGAATAACTTACATTTAGGACCAGTGAGGTTGGTGAAGCACTGACTTCAGCCCAATCAGATGAACACATATAAGTCAACAGGACCAACAGAGCGGATTATTCACTGTTTGTTTGACTTCAGCAGAATATGTTCCATGTCTGCATTGTTTGTTCATTCAAAACACAAAAGTGTGTAAGAAGCACATTTAACAGTGTGTTATGGTCCTTGCCTCACTGTAAACATGACCTGCACAGACCAGTTCAGTTCAGACCAGTTCAGTTCAGACCAGTTCAGTTCAGACCAGTTCAGTTCAGACCAGTTCAGTTCAGACCCGTTCAGTTCAGACCAGTTCAGTTCAGACCAGTTCAGTTCAGACCAGTTCAGTTCAGACCACTTCAGTTCAGACCTGCACAGACCAGTTCAGTTCAGACCAGTTCAGTTCAGACCAGTTCAGTTCAGACCAGTTCAGTTCAGACCAGTTCAGTTCAGACCAGTTCAGTTCAGACCACTTCAGTTCAGACCAGTTCAGTTCAGACCAGTTCAGACCAGTTCAGTTCAGACCAGTTCAGACCAGTTCAGTTCAGACCAGTTCAGTTCAGACCAGTTCAGACCAGTTCAGTTCAGACCTGCACAGACCAGTTCAGTTCAGACCAGTTCAGTTCAGACCAGTTCAGTTCAGACCAGTTCAGTTCAGACCAGTTCAGTTCAGACCAGTTCAGTTCAGACCAGTTCAGTTCAGACCAGTTCAGACCAGTTCAGACCAGTTCAGTTCAGACCAGTTCAGACCAGTTCCATGTTTAACTCCAGATAATAGTTTGAGCGTAGATATGTAATCTTGCATTTGGAAATAAGTCCAAACAGTTTTAAAAAATAAAACAAAACGAGTGTCTCCTCATGTCTCGCTGCAGCCGAGTCTCGGGTGCATCCAATTTCTAAAATCAACCTTCTTACCCTTCTCCTCTCTTCCTTATCATTCCTATCGTCATTGGAAGCATAACATTACCCTAAGTGCATTTTGAATTATTATGTTTAATTAAAATGTGTTATCTGTATGTTATGTGATGGAATTGGATGCACCCCAATTCTGGGCTCACATGCGCCCCCCTGAGGCTGGCCTCAGTTTGTGACATTACAAGCCGAGGTTTGACCTCGATAAAGACCTATATTTGTTTCACAAACACAACTTATGACCATCCTCTGAACTTAGACATGAAGATTGTAAAGGAAATATGTTTGAACTTTGTAAACTGCAATGAACAGAGAAAACAGTTGGATAGCAGCGCCTCTCCCACAGTGAGCTGTGGCTTTTACGTCTCCCGAGAGCGCCTCACAGCGTTCTGTCAAATATGAGAAAAATATTACAAAAATCTGCAGTTTCAAGGTAAAAATAAATGAAGTAAAGCTAGAGATTTATACTTGCTTCCTTATCATGTTAAAGCTGCAGATGTTAGCCTCATGCTAACGTTAGCTCATTTATCTTCTGTAGCTGGTTATTATAATTTATAGAGATGATTAAGTCTGTTATTGCTGGGTCCTAGTGCCTCTGTGGGTGGGATGTTTTATCACCTGTGCGCCCCTGTTCAGCCTGTTGTAATAAATCCAAACTATTAAAACAATTAAAATGGTGTAAAACGAGGAGAACGAAGGTGTGTGTCGTGGTAATGGGTTTACGTCCCTTTAGGGAGCTGTGGGTTTGTCTGGGACCGTGCGGGAGATTCTGAGGTTGTGTTAGCTTGTCTCGCTAATGTAAGCTTTAAATGGAAAAAATTGGTTGAAAATGGTCAGAAATAGTTTGTGATTTTAAAATCTACTGAAGTGAAATCCACAATCCTGATTTCAATCCATTTTATATCATGTAGAGCAGGGTCTCCAACCTTTCTCTCAGAGAGCTACTTTTATACAACAGAAGAGAGCTACTCCTTTTAAGGCTGTACACAACACTGCAACACAACACTGTAACATAACACTGTAACACAACACTGTGACACAACACTGTAAACACAACACTGCAACACAACACTGTAAACACAACACTGTAAACACAATACTGTAAACACAACACTGTAAACACAACACTGTAACACAACACTGCAACACAACATTGTAACACAACACTGTAACACAACACTGTAACACAACACTGCAACACAACACTGTAAACATAACACTGTAACACAACACTGTAACACAACACTGTAACACAACACTGCAACACAACACTGTAAACATAACACTGTAACACAACACTGTAACACAACACTGTAACACAACACTGTAACACAACACTGTAAACACAACACTGTAAACACAATACTGTAAACACAACACTGTAACACAACACTGTAAACATAACACTGTAAACACAACACTGTAAACACAACACTGTAAACACAACACTGCAACACAACACTGTAAACACAACACTGTAAACACAACACTGTAACACAACACTGTAAACACAACACTGTAAACACAACACTGTAAACACAACACTGTAAACACAACACTGCAACACAACACTGTAAACACAACACTGTAACACAACACTGTAAACACAACACTGTAAATACAACACTGCAACACAACACTGTAAACACAACACTGTAAACACAACACTGTAACACTTTGTGTGTGTGTGTGTATAAATGGTTACATTGTTTCTCACTGTAAAAACACAACATCGTCTTCATAAAAGAAGCAGGATTTATGACTCAAAAAACAGAAGACAGCTGTCGGCAGTTAGACACACACTCACGGATCACACACATCTGCTGTTAGACACACACTCACGGATCACACACATCTGCTGTTAGACACACACTCACGGATCACACACATCTGCTGTTAGACACACACTCACGGATCACACACATCTGCAGTTAGACACACACTCACAGATCACACACATCTGCAGTGAGACACACACTCACAGATCACACACATCTGCAGTTACAGACGCACACACACTCCACAAACGACTTCAGCCTCAGAGCAGTGACTCACAAAGTTCACACGGAGTCTCCATCATCTATAAATACTGTGTGTGTGTCTGAGGGGGCGGGAGTCTGAGGCCTGTGTCTGAGGGGGCGGGGTCTGAGGCCTGTGTCTGAGGGGGCGGAGACTGGGGCCTGTGTCTGAGGCCTGTGTCTGAGGGGGCGGAGTCTGAGGCCTGTGTCTGAGGGGGCGGAGACTGGGGCCTGTGTCTGAGGGGGCGGAGTCTGAGGCCTGAGTCTGAGGGGGCGAAGTCTGGGGCCTGTGTCTGAGGGGGCGGAGTCTGGGGCCTGTGTCCGGGAGGGCGGAGTCTCGGGCGGAGTCTGGGGCCTGTGTCTGGGGGGGCGGAGTCTAGGGCCTGTGTTTGAGGGGGCGGAGTCTGGGGCCTGTGTGTGAGGGGGCGGAGTCTGGGGCCTGTGTCTGAGGGGGCGGAGTCTGGGGCCCGTGTCTGAGGGGGCGGAGTCTGGGGCCTATGTCTGAGGGGGCGGCGTCTGGGGCCTGTGTCTGAGGGGGCGGAGTCTGAGGCCTGTGTCTGAGGGGGCGGAGTCTGAGGCCTCTGTCCGGGAGGGCGGAGTCTCGGGCGGAGTCTGGGGCCTGTGTCTGGGGGGGCGGAGTCTAGGGCCTGTGTTTGAGGGGGCGGAGTCTGGGGCCTGTGTCTGAGGGGGCGGAGTCTAGGGCCTATGTCTGAGAGGGCGGAGTCTGGCTCCTGTGTCTAAGGGGGCGGAGTCCCCTTAGATTGATGATTGTGACAAAATGTCTGGTGTGGTCGCCACGGTAACGGGATGTCCACTTCAAATAATAATCTGTTTCGTTCAGTATCTTAAAGTTTAGCACATGCAGTTAAATGAATACAGTAGAGTAAAGTATCACAACATTTAATTTAACAAATATCTGTTTCCTTTCTCTGAGGTTCTCGTTGTATTTGAAGCTTCATGTGAGAGAATAATTATGTCTGCTCCTTTCTGCTCGCTCGACAAACGTTATCGTGTAGTTAAGCCGAGAGGGACTCGACGGACAAAAGGTTATTAGAACTGTAGGTAAGACTTTAGATTAGCATTCACTAATTAACAGCTAATTAACGGCTAACAAAGTGCTAATGTGTGTTTGTGTAATCGAGTTGAGGCCGAGAAACAGCTCTGGACAATCGTTAACAACAATGAGAACTCAAATGGACAAATCCCAGACTAAAAACAAGGGGAGAAAAAGTCACAGACATGGGGAGAACATGCAAACTAGGCCCAACCAGGACCTCTCCCTTCTACAGAATATACTGATTATAACATGGATCTTAAAGCTGTTCTGAGCTTTAAGATCAGGCGTGAAATGTCTATATTCATCTTTGACAGAGCTGAAGTTGGCTGGATGACACTGTGAACTTGTCTTCATGATCTTATAGACTACTTTTGGGTTAGCGAGTCAGAGGGCCGTGTACAATGACACAGAGGGCCGCACTGTGCCCCCGGGCCATAGTTTGGACAGGCCTGTTTTAGACGCATTATTTTCTTATTCCAAAAGAGACGGCCAATGTGTGTGTGTCTGTGTGTGTTTGTGCGTGCGTGTGTCTATGTGTGTGTGTGTGTTTGTGTGTGTGTGTTTGTGTGTGTATGTCTGTGTGTGTGTGTCTATGTGTGTGTGTGTCTGTGTGTGTGTCTGTATCTGTCAGTGTGTGTGTCTGTGTGTGTGTGTCTGTCAGTGTGTGTGTGTGTGTTTTATGGCTGAAGTTTTCCTCCTGTGGTGATGAGATAAGTGTGAGGAGACTGGAATGTTCTGTTGGAATGGTCCGGTACAGTTTGGCTCGGTTCAGTCACACCGGGACATTTAAATACAAGGAACAGGAGAGAAACAAACAAACAAATATTCCCAAAGAAAAAAAACACGGTTTAACAAAGACTGAATGTTTCTATTTTATTGACCATAAAGAGAGCTACTTTACCAGGACCAAAAAGACAGAGAGCTACTTTACCGGGACCATAAAGACAGAGAGCTACTTTACCGGGACCATAAAGACAGAGAGCTACTTTACCGGGACCATAAAGACAGAGAGCTACTTTACCGGGACCATAAAGACAGAGAGCTACTTTACCGGGACCATAAAGACAGAGAGCTACTTTACCGGGACCATAAAGACAGAGAGCTACTTTACCGGGACCATAAAGACAGAGAGCCACTTTACCGGGACCATAAAGACAGAGAGCTACTTTACCGGGACCATAAAGACAGAGAGCTACTTTACCGGGACCATAAAGACAGAGAGCTACTTTACCGGGACCATAAAGACAGAGAGCTACTTTACCGGGACCATAAAGACAGAGAGCTACTTTACCGGGACCATAAAGACAGAGAGCTACTTTACCGGGACCATAAAGACAGAGAGCTACTTTACCGGGACCATAAAGACAGAGAGCTACTTTACCGGGACCATAAAGACAGAGAGCCACTTTTCGGGACCATAAAGACAGAGAGCTACTTTACCGGGACCATAAAGACAGAGAGCTACTTTACCGGGACCATAAAGACAGAGAGCTACTTTACCGGGACCATAAGAAAGACAGAGAGCTACTTTACCGGGACCATAAAGACAGAGAGCTACTTTACCAGGACCATAAAGACAGAGAGCTACTTTACCGGGACCATAAAGACAGAGAGCTACTTTACCGGGACCATAAAGACAGAGAGCTACTTTACCGGGACCATAAAGACAGAGAGCCACTTTACCGGGACCATAAAGACAGAGAGCTACTTTACCGGGACCATAAAGACAGAGAGCTACTTTACCGGGACCATAAAGACAGAGAGCTACTTTACCGGAACCATAAAGACAGAGAGCTACTTTCCCGGGACAATAAAGACAGAGAGCTACTGTCCTGGGACAATGACGACAGAGAGCTACTTTCCGGGACGTTAACGACAGAGAGCTACTTTCCTATGACGATAACGACAGAAAGCTACTTTCCGGGACGATAACGACAGAGAGCTACTTTCCTATGACGATAACGACAGAGAGCTACTTTCCGGGACAATAACGACAGAGAGCTACTTTCCCGGGACAATAACAACAGAGAGCTACTTTCCCGGGACAATAACGACAGAGAGCTACTGTCCTGGGACAATGACGACAGAGAGCTACTTTCCGGGACGTTAACGACAGAGAGCTACTTTCCTATGACGATAACGACAGAGAGCTACTTTCCGGGACGATAACGACAGAGAGCTACTTTCCTATGACGATAACGACAGAGAGCTACTTTCCGGGACGATAACGACAGAGAGCTACTTTCCGGGACAATAACAACAGAGAGCCACTTTCCCGGGATAATAACGACAGAGAGCTACTGTCCTGGGACGATAACGACAGAGAGTTACTTTCCTATGACGATAACAACAGAGAGCTACTTTCCGGGACAATAACGACAGAGAGCTACTTTCCCGGGACAATAACGACAGAGAGCTACTGTCCTGGGACGATAACGACAGAGAGCTACTTTACCGGGACCATAAAGACAGAGAGCTACTTTACCGGGACCATAAAGACAGAAAGCTACTTTACCGGGACCATAAAGACAGAGAGCTACTTTACCGGGACCATAAAGACAGAGAGCTACTTTACCAGGACCATAAAGACAGAGAGCTACTTCACCGGGAGCATGAAGACAGAGAGCTACTTTACCGGGACCATAAAGACATCGAGCTACTTTACCGGAACCATAAAGACAGAGAGCTACTTTCCCGGGACAATAAAGACAGAGAGCTACTGTCCTGGGACAATAACGACAGAGAGCTACTTTCCGGGACGTTAACGACAGAGAGCTACTTTCCTATGACGATAACGACAGAGAGCTACTTTCCGGGACGATAACGACAGAGAGCTACTTTCCTATGACGATAACGACAGAGAGCTACTTTCCGGGACAATAACGACAGAGAGCTACTTTCCCGGGACAATAACGACAGAGAGCTACTGTCCTGGGACGATAACGACAGAGAGCTACTTTCCTATGACGATAACGACAGAGAGCTACTTTCCGGGACAATAACGACAGAGAGCTACTTTCCCGGGACAATAACGACAGAGAGCTACTGTCCTGGGACGATAACGTCAGAAAGCTACTTTCCCGGCAGAATAACGACAGAGAGCTACTTTCCCGGGACAATAACGACAGAGAGCTACTTTCCAGGACGATAACGACAGAGAGCTACTTTCCTATGACGATAACGACAGAGAGCTACTTCCCTATGACGATAACGACAGAGAGCTACTCCTTCAAACGCCCTGGGGAAAATGTGGTGATATATATTTGTGTGAACGAGCATAAAGTGCATAACACAATCTGAAATATTAAGTGTATTATTTGATTTTCTCATTTCTAAATCCTTTGGCGAGCTACCTGGAAGGGGGTGGAGAGCTACTGGTCACTCCTGAGCTACAGGTGGGAGACCCGAGCTACATGCTAGCTCAGCCATTCCCAAACTCAGTAACTCCGAGGCCCCCTTAAAAATCTGACGGGTCTGCGTGGCCCCCCAAAATAATAACCAAGAAGACAACATTAAGAATAGGCTCTTCTGGTTATTTTATTTTGGGGAAATAGCCTCTGATACAAACATTGTAATACAAAAATGATTACAGTGGATTATTCAAGTCAAATAAGGAACACAAATATTTTAATATTACAAACAAAACATTATAAATTTAACATTAAATAATTATATTATTTTTTTATTTTTTTTATGAGCTCGCGCGGCCCCCCTGCAGTACCCTCGTGGCCCATCAGGGGGCCGCGGACCCCACTTTGGGAGACACTGTGCTAGCTTATAAACGTGAGAGTTCGGTCAGTGATAAAGCGTACACTAATACATTCTGAAATCCAGTGGTTTGCCGATAGACATTTTATTTTGTTTTGTCCCGTTGGAAAATCCTCTCAGAATGTGCTCAGACTAAGACACATTTTTGCCCAATTTTGGACTTATTTCTCACCACTTTTTGCAGTGTAGCTCATGGTTACAGTGTGAAGGCTCCGTGTTTACATCAGCGTCAGAGCGTAAACACTATGCTCAGACCTAAACTCGTCTCACGTCCTGGAAAAGTCTTCACAGATGACGCCAAGAACCTCTTTGACCCGGAGGAATCCCCAAAGCAAATATAGAGACGATATGTTTGTTTAAAAAGGCAGAAAACAGCTCTGAGTGTGAAAGATGCTAAAAATACATCCATGTGAAAACTGGTGATGGAAGAAAAATGTTTTAGGAGCGAGGACTGAGCTGGACTGGTTTTATCACATATTCTATCACTCCACATGGTTTATAACAGAAGGAGAAGAGTTGAACCAATGGGGAGGGGCCTTGCCTGGCTATAGGTGGATTTGAATTCACTGCATCCAATCAGGAACCTGTGGGGGCGGGTCTAACTGTCAGAAAACCTCTCTCCATCTTCACAATTTAAAAAGTAACTCCTTCACTTTTAAGCAGAGAGACCAGAGAGAGACCGGAGAGAGACCGGAGAGAGACCAGAGAGAGACCAGAGAGAGACCAGAGAGAGACCAGAGAGAGACCAGAGAGAGACCGGAGAGAGACCAGAGAGAGACCAGAGAGAGACCAGAGAGAGACCAGAGAGAGACCAGAGAGAGACCAGAGAGAGACCAGGGAGAGACCAGAGAGAGACCAGGGAGACCAGGGAGAGACCAGAGAGAGACCAGGGAGACCAGGGAGAGACCAGAGAGAGACCAGGGAGAGACCAGAGAGAGACCGGAGAGAGACCGGAGAGAGACCGGCGAGAGACCAGGGAGAGACCAGAGAGAGACCAGAGAGAGACCAGAGAGAGACCAGGGAGAGACCAGAGAGAGACCAGGGAGACCAGGGAGAGACCAGAGAGAGACCAGGGAGAGACCAGAGAGAGACCAGGGAGACCAGGGAGAGACCAGAGAGAGACCAGGGAGACCAGGGAGAGACCAGAGAGAGACCAGAGAGAGAGGCCAGAGAGAGACCAGGGAGAGACCAGAGAGAGACCGGAGAGAGACCAGGGAGAGACCAGAGAGAGACCAGAGAGAGAGGCCAGAGAGAGACTAGAGACCAGACCAGAGAGAGAGACTGGAGAGAGACCAGAGAGAGACCAGAGAGAGACCGGAGAGAGACCAGAGAGAGACCAGAGAGAGACCAGAGAGAGACCAGAGAGAGACCGGAGAGAGACCAGAGAGAGACCAGAGAGAGACCGGAGAGAGACCAGAGAGAGACCGGAGAGAGACCAGAGAGAGACCAGAGAGAGACCAGGGAGAGGCCAGAGAGAGACTAGAGACCAGACCAGAGAGAGAGACTGGAGAGAGACCAGAGAGAGACCAGAGAGAGACCAGAGAGAGAGACCAGAGAGAGACCAGAGAGAGAGAGACCAGAGAGAGACCAGAGAGAGACCGGAGAGAGACCAGAGAGAGACCAGAGAGAGACCAGAGAGAGACCAGAGAGAGACCGGAGAGAGACCAGAGAGAGACCAGAGAGAGACCAGGGAGAGACCGGAGAGAGACCAGAGAGAGACCAGGGAGACCAGAGAGAGACCAGAGAGAGACCGGAGAGAAACCAGAGAGAGACCAGAGAGAGAGACCAGAGAGAGACCGGAGAGAGACCAGAGAGAGACCAGAGAGAGAGACCAGAGAGAGACCAGAGAGAGACCAGAGAGAGACCGGAGAGAGACCAGAGAGAGAGACCAGAGAGAGACCGGAGAGAGACCAGAGAGAGACCAGAGAGAGAGACCAGAGAGAGACCAGAGAGAGGCCAGAGAGAGACCAGAGAGAGACCAGAGAGAGACCAGAGAGAGACCAGAGAGAGACCAGAGAGAGACCAGGGAGAGACCGGAGAGAGACCAGAGAGAGACCAGGGAGACCAGATAGAGACCAGAGAGAGACCGGAGAGAAACCAGAGAGAGACCAGAGAGAGAGAGACCAGAGAGAGACCGGAGAGAGACCAGAGAGAGACCAGAGAGAGAGACCAGAGAGAGACCAGAGAGAGACCAGAGAGAGACCGGAGAGAGACCAGAGAGAGAGACCAGAGAGAGACTAGAGAGAGAGACCAGAGAGAGACCAGAGAGAGGCCAGAGAGAGACCAGAGAGAGACCGGAGAGAGACCAGAGAGAGAGACCAGAGAGAGACCGGAGAGAGACCAGAGAGAGACCAGAGAGAGAGACCAGAGAGAGACCAGAGAGAGACCAGAGCGAGACCAGAGAGAGACCAGAGAGAGAGACCAGAGAGAGAGACCAGAGAGAGAGACCAGAGAGAGACCAGAGAGAGAGACCAGAGAGAGACCAGAGAGAGACCAGAGAGAGAGACCAGAGAGAGACCAGAGAGAGAGACCAGAGAGAGACCAGAGAGAGAGACCAGAGAGAGACCAGAGAGAGACCAGAGAGAGACCAGAGAGAGAGACCAGAGAGAGACCAGAGAGAGAGACCAGAGAGAGACCAGAGAGAGACCAGAGAGAGACCAGAGAGAGAGACCAGAGAGAGACCAGAGAGAGAGACCAGAGATAGACCACAGAGAGACCACTGCTCCACTGTCCTTCT